TATTTTTATTCTGATCATCTTACTTGTCCTACATTTGTACATATATCTATATTTATGCCTATTTATTTAACTTTTTTTTTTTTTACTTATCTTTACGTCATTGTTGCGTCAATGTCTGCCCCCCGGGCACAAATATAGTTTTCTGAATCTGAGCCTGATGGTACAACACTGAGCAAGCAGCGATATTCAGAAGTGACGCGTTACTGTGCAGGTAAAGTCACACCTGTGGACACGTAGCTTCAGAGTTTATCTGGTAAAGAGGAACCATGACGGACTGACGTGATGCTTCAGGATGTCCACATGTTCAGTCAAGCTGGGATCAATCAGGACGGCTTCCTGGAGGGCGTAGCGTGACATAGGTGTCGTGATTTATCTGTTTTTGTGGTGATTTTGTGCTTTCATGTGATAATTTCGTCTGAACCTGAACATGTCATGTGTCTATCTGCTGTACTGATGAAGTTCTGAGGCTCAGAAACGATGAGGAGGTCCATTCAGAGGCGACTTTGTTCAGATTTGATTGATTTTATATTTATATTAGTGCAGAAGTTTCTGACAACAAAGACAAAGTGTGTTTTTATCGCTGAAATCACATCAGACAAAACAAAAAGTCCCATTTGTCAGAGAACAGAGTGAAAACTGAACATCCAGCGTCTGGACTGAATCCTTCAGCACTCATCGGCGTTAATGTGACAGCGAAGCCTCGCAGCAAATTAAAAGAGCGTTTTATCGGGTTTGTTTTCAAACAAGTGACTCACCGCCGCTGACATTTAAACATCATCCCACTTCCACAAATGACAAGAGGCTGTAAAAGGCGAACGTAAACCTCCATCAGCAGCTGAAGACCGGCAGGAAATGTCAACACCAGACCTGCTGCACGACCACGAGTCGGCTGGAGGATCTGGACCTGGAGGCAGTCAGCGACGGACGGGTTTCAATGTTTCTACAAGTTCTAGTTACTAGCTAATTTTATCAGTTTAAATTTTAATTGTTTTTGAAAAAATTGACAGTTTTGTTAAATAAGAGGTCGTATCCAGTAAAATCAGAGGGAATTAATTCACACATTAGCAAAGTGAAACTAAATCATCTCCACATCATGACTCTGGATTTTTATAAGCAGCAATCCAGTATTTTCTTCTCACGACATTTGGCTGTAAAATGACACAATTCTTTTTCCTGTATTTAAATCAGCAGAATAATTAAATTAGGGATTAAAAAATGGCAAATGACTTTTAAACTGATATTTTACAGATTTTCAAATAATATTAAACAAAATCACATGAAGAAAAAGCATTTCTTTCTTTTACAATAGCTGATTATGAAGTGACTCAATTTTTAGTATGT